AATAGCATATTATCGAATATTTATAAAAGACTTTCTACAATTTGCGCATTGACCTATTACAGATGATGCATGTATATGATGGACATTTGCGCATGAATTTTTGTATTTCAGATATTTTAGGTTCTAATTTTTTCACCTCATGTTTTCAGTTAAAATCATTTAAAGAATAAAATTTGAAATTAAAATTAATTTTTTATTTTTCATTCTTTTTAAAAATTACATTTAAATGTTATATCTTTTGTAAGTTTCATTTTTTCATTTTTTTTTTTTTTTAATTGAATAAAAATTTATTTATTAGCAAAATATCTTCTTTCAAATTTTATCTTTTATATTAACATTGCATTAAAGAAACAAACATAATGAGATATTGCTCATAGATTTTAATTACAATAATTAAAGCCAATAAACCTGTTTAATTATGGTATGAGTAACAAAACAATTTCTTCATTTTATATAAAAATATACCACCACCAAGATAGAATTTTATCAATCAATCGTTATTTAATAGTTTTATATGAATGTATAAAATCAAATGATTTATTTTAAAGTAAAATTTAATTTTTTTTATTTTAAACTTACATTTTATGTTAAATTTATGCAAAAAAAGAAAATTTTTTATTATAACTTATATAATAATTAATAAAATAATTGCTGCAAATTAATTTACTGATAACTTATTAAAATTGCATAAATTTAACACAAAATGTAGATTTAAAGAAGGAAAAAGCTTAGCTTATGAAGCTTAGCTTTTAGCTTAGCTAAATTAATTTACTGATAATTTATCAAAATTGCACAAATTTAACACAAAATGTAAGTTTTAAAAAAAAAGCTTAGCTTTTAGCTTATAAACTAAAAATATTTTTCAATTGCTTAAATGATATATTGAATATACAGTGATAAAATGATTGATTGACTGATAAGCATAGACATTGTTAATTGATGAATAGGGAAAAAGAAAGATTAAATGTACCCATTATCTATAATCATAACAAAATGATTTATAAAATAATACTTATCAAATTAGATTAATAATCATTTTGATAAGTTATCAAATTATAATTGACCTTATAATTGCTGATACTTTTATATAATTTAAGTGTTATTGCAAAAGACCAGTTTATCGAGGTCATCTTTTCAGTCATCAATATTTCATCCTTTTTTTTTTTTCCAAAAATGAAATACTAACAAAAACTGGACTTTCATTTGTAAAATGAAAAATACAGGTTAGCTCAGGTATTTATTAATATGATTGATAAATAACCAAACAACAATTAATAGCAATGAATAAAAATTTGAGAAAAACTTGTTCATTTTAATCATATTATTGAAAAGTGTCCCCTAATTTGCATATCAATTCATTCAAATATTTATTATTTTCCATTATTCCACTAAAAATTGTTTAAAATGAAAAAAACAAAAGAAAAAAAATGTTATTTGTCATCAAAATGATAATTTGAGAAGTAAAATAAATATGAAATATGATTAAGAAGGCACATTATCTGGTAAAACGTAAAATGAAGTACGATAATTTGATCGAGTAAAGTTAAGGTAAAATAAAGGTGAATATTTAAAACAGTAAATAAAGGCCATATAATTAATATACCATAAAGGTAAATGAAAAGTTTCAAGGCAAATGAAAACTTTTTTTGAAATTATTATATCATATATATTAGTTTTATTGATGAAAATTTGATATCTAAATTGAAATTGGAAATGTTAAGAAATGGAATTTTACCACTATACCATTTCATGTGTATAGAAATATTTTTAATTTTTTTCGTGTTATTTCGCGCTTTTCCATTCAATTATTCTCTTATTTCTTATTTTCATTTTAAATTTAAAAATTATCAAACAATAATTCAAATTAAGATTACTAATGTATATGATAGATTTATTATTATTG